AGCTATGGCGGAGGGGGGCTTATTTCGGGAGGGGCGCAATTTCGGGGGTGGCATTATTTTTCGAACGGTATATTTTGGGAGGGGCATTATATTTCAAACAACTGCACATCCTGTTCTAGTGAAATTGACCGCAGTAATTATCGGTATACGCAACAGCGCAACCTTCCCGGCATCATTTTCGACCATATACTAAGGTCCCTATACACTTTTTTGCCTACAAATACCGCATTATGTTGATGTCCGTTTAATGTTTGTTCACAATTTTATAAAGCATTTGCGGTACACCTATCATTTTGCAGCGCTTGACATTTAATAACGGCCCCCTGGGGCGTAATTTCGGGGGGTGGCCTTATTTTTCAAACAGGGTCGGGGAGGGGGGCTTATTACAGGGGGGGCTCTTATTTCGGGGGGAGCCACAAATTCGATAATTACGGTATATGGCAAGTCAGTCGATGAAGTTCGTATACTGTAACCTTAGCACACGTAAGAACCGTCTCTGTTCGATCTGGCACGTTCCCATACTTCGGCATGGATTTGACACTCGTAATCTCTTTGAAAATGATAATACTCGTAATTATGAAGTTATGTATAACTATCCTTGCCTTGATATAGTGAAGTTTTCTATGGTCTTTGTCACCAGTACAAGTGTCATATCGATACCGAACTGGGCAAATGCATTCGTATCGACGCGGGAAATCTTTGCATTCTCCACGACTGCATGGTTTTATTGCGCACTGGTCAATTCCTGCATTTTCCATGAAGTGATCAAGCAAGACGACTGTGTGAAAAACGCAATATCCTTATTCGGTATCACGAAGCTACACATGTCCATGTGATGCCGGCTACGAGTTTGCGGGCGGAACATGCGGGTCAGTAAGTTTATCGTTATTGCAGTTTCGAGATCTGCTTACCGTTCCAATTGTGGTCTTTTTTTATATACACATGTGTAAATATCAATGAGTGCATACCGCTGCCTTGTGCACTCAACGCACAGTGGCAGGACACGGACGGTGGCTTTAATTTATTGTTTGTGCATCCTCCTGGATTCACTCTGAAATCCCAAGACAACGATCTCTAAAGCTATCAGTAACGTTACTACTGTGCGCTTTAGCTTTCTTAACCCGTTCCACACCATGCGTGTTAGGCCGACATGGTGGAGGACTTATTTTCTATAATCCGCTGTTATGGTCGTAAATTGGTTTTAATTGTTTTATTTCAAAGAAGAAATGTTAGGCGACAATTTAAAATATATAACCGATAGCTTTACCGTGTCCGGAGGGCCCAGAGGGTGACCAAAGATGGTCAAAATTGACCAAACGGGGCTCCCGGAGTTCCTGCTTGTCTATACCGCCAGCCAAACATCCGATAATTCCCACAAAAATCACAGGGGAAGTAAATGCTTAGCTTTATAAAAGAATGAGGAAACGTAAAGAAAAAAATCGTTCACTGGTCAGTGCTGGTCAGTTGAAAATACCATGTCGGTCATGACACGGTTGGGCAAGGTATTAAATAATCGATATTCTTTATAAATTCATAACAATTGGCAGAAAAATCATACACAATACAACATAAAATCAAAATAAAGCCCTTAAAAAGCTGTATTAACTGACGTGCGAATAGTGGTCAGCAAAGTGACCACTGGTCAGCACTGACCGGAAATTTGAAAAAAATGTATTTTTGACTGAACGCCATTAACATCAGCTTAAATAAAGTCCAAAACAATTGCGTAATGACTGCTTTCAGTAATTATAAAATAGGTGTGACCCGTAATACCTACAATGGACTGCAAAAATGACTCAACGTCGGGCTCGACCAGTTGCGCGAACAGCTGTACAGTGCTTCGCTTGTGTGTGAAACGTCACTATTGCCATGTACAGACAGAATGTACTGCACCGGCTACTCTGTTGTGGCAGATTTCGTGTATTCTTTGCTAATGTCAACTGAATTAAGCTACAATAATGAGAGAGAAATTTTGTAAATGTTATTCATCTCGCGTTAATACACTGCCAGTTGAGCTTTTGCCCTTGCTTCACAGTGATAAAACACATAATTTGGAGCTTCCGGTGCAAGAGTGCTCGTGCGTCGTAGCCTTTAGAAATCAGTCGGCACAAAGCGGAGAGTATTACGGATAGGAGAAATGGCTTAGTAGTCGTGTCTTCCTTTCTGAATACCTAAATTTGTAGTTTTGAATAAACGTAAGTGACAGATTTTTTTAGCAAAACTTTGCTGACCTTGCTGCTCGATACTTTCGTATATCTCAGTAATTGGTCACTTCACTCACTTCTAATACACTTTGAAGAAGTTGGCCACCGGTCAAATAACGATGATGATCATCGCACACATGCCTCCTCCTTTTTTTTACGGTATTCCATTAAGTTGCACGACCAGATATAGCATTACTTCCACTGTATACGTCACTCGGACTATGTACAGTACGTACACGTCATTTACATTAAAGCCGATGACCAGTTGTCCAAAACATAAACAGAAGTGACCAACTATTGCGAAATACACATGTAGCACTTATGTAATGGCTCAAATCAGTGCTTTTTCGCTCTAAAATTTTCCTTGACCACTGGTCATCTCGATGACCATCACATTGCATCTATCACAAAGTACTCGTTGAGATCTATCGTTTGAGCTATTGACATATTCTGTGCGATTTTTCTGTCAGTTTTTATAAACGCATTAGATAACATGTCGGGGCAACATGGTTACCATGCGTGTTAGGCCGACATGGTCATCTCCTGCTTGACCTATGGTCGCTGAAATTTTGAAAAAATTATTTTTCTCTTAATTAAATTTTTCTGTCCCAGACTGCCAATTTTCAAGACTCTAGTCCCATCCCTTCCAGTACCCGGTTTTCCTGGGTTAACTGGCTTCGGATGTGATACGCAGAAATGTATGTGAACCGCTATCGTGCTACCGTGATGTCACTTGTCGTCGACAAGTTGTCGGCATACTACCTACCAAAATCAGTAGCGATGGACAACTGGGAGTGCCATATTAATTTTGCCCAGGGATGTATCTGGTCAGTGCAGAAGTGTTTCTGCATTGTTAAGTTGAATTATGGAGATTATTTCTATTGTTTCTACTGTAAGTCGTGTCATTTAATTTGTCTTCATTTAGGTTTTTGCTGATTCATACAGCATGTACATGTACAGATACATGTGTATGTACATGCACCAAAGGCTTCCAGATGATTCCAATAAAATCCAGATCGTCGGTACTGCTGGTACGAAAAATGTAACTTAATTAAATTTTTCAACGGTATAATTATTATTTTTTGCAGATATCAACGAATGCATGACTGAGCCCAGTCTGTGCTTGGAACGGTCGCTGTGCTGACACCGTCGGAAGTTACACGTGTGAATGCAGCAAAGGTTACAAAGTAATCCAGCAAAGGTTACAAAGCTTTCCAGTACTTCAATTCGAGAAAACTGAATATTATAATTACTATTATAAAATTTTTAATACAAAGACCAAAGTTAAAAATATAAAAGTTTAGTACTGTACTCAAAGCGTACCAACTAGGTACTGTGAATGACTATTGTTCGTGACGTTTATCATTCTAATTTACTAAATTAGCAGTATTAGCAGCTTACCATTAGCTTTCCTTTGCCACACTAGTCTTTTTATAACTTCATGTTATTCTCGTCCTTATCAAACAATGTTTATTGTTTTAAATGGGCATGTCATCGCCCCTGGATGAAAATTTCCCTCATCCAGTATCGGAGGGTGGCTACGGGGCCTAGTCTGGAGAATTTCTCCAGAGACTGTCGTGGCAGTTGCCCCGTAGTTATCGAGCCCCCACAGTTCTATACTCCGTAAGTACTCTTTTTTGATCTCCTACCGTTCAGATCTGTCGCTGCCCAAACGTTTTGTTGAAAGGAGAATGACGAATCCTCTACAATGTCCGAAGTGTCAGACAGTCCTTACCAGCGCAAATTACCTGGCGAACCATCTCAAAAAGCCCCCCAAGTACTGCAAGCGGGCCGCAGAGCAACGGCTGCGATCCCAGCAAGCCAGGCGCAGTACCACCCCCACCACCCAACAGCGAGCCAGCCAAAAGATTTGCCAGCACGACTTGCTGAGCTACGCGAACTTGTCCATCTACCAGATCACATCCCCAAAGTACACGCGTGATTGTGGCCGAAGCATTGAACAGCACCCTGGAAAACGTCGCTTCCAGCAACTCCATCGAAGCATGGACCGATCTCCTCGTGTTCAGCTACGCAACTCTCGGGCAACCAAAAGCAGCTCCTGGTGAAAGATCAGACATGACTTACCCCAATGTGATACGTCAGAATCTGCAGCAGAAAAACCCTCCAGAAGCCAATCAGGGAGAACCACGCAGGCAGGCACAGCCTGCAACGGACCCTGAAGATCCAGTGCGCCTCCGCAAGCGAGTTAGTCGCAAGCTTCAGGACGGAAATGTAGCTGGCGCTGTACAGCAGCTGGTGAGTGAAGAGTCAGTGATGCCGCCATCCGATGATACCTATTCGCAGCTACTCGGAAAACACCCCCACAACCCGTCGAATGTGCAACCGCCCTCGGGTGTCGCAACCCCACTGCCACCTCCCGTGTCTCCCGCTGAAATTTTGGAAGCTATCCGCGCGTTCCCGAATGGATCGCAGCAGGTCCAGACAGGATGCGGCCGCAGTATTTGAAAGATCTGACAACAGTGAAGAACCAAGAAACTACCAAAAAATTGTACGGTTCGTTCGGCTGGCGTAACGAACATCATGCTAAGGTGAGTACCCTTGAAATCGCCAAAATTCTGTATGGAGCGAATCTGTTCGCCTTTAAAAGAAAGACGGAGTACTCGCCCTATCGCTGTTGGTACGGCACTCAGACGGATTATGTCTCGCACCGTGTCTTTCCGATCATCACACCTGAACAGCGTCTTGCAACCTGTCCAACTGGGTTTCGCAACGAAAGGAGGCGCGGAGGCAGCAGTCCACGGCGCACGCTACTTCATAGAAGACGCTATAAACGGAGACAGACCGCAGGTTTTTCTTAAGCTGGACGTGAAAAATGCCTTCAATTCTCTCGACAGGAATCGCATTTTGGAAGCTACAGAAGAGTTTTTACCAACATACTCACTGTACGTGCGCCAGTGCTACGGTGAACCGTCAGTACTGCTCCATGGTGGCTACCAAATTTCGTCGCAAGCGGGCATACAGCAAGGCGATCCCCTCGGCCCGCTACTGTACTGTCTAGCAACAATCGGCCCACATAAAAACCTCAAATCGAAGTTAAAAGAAAGTTTCCTCGACGATGACGCGCTTGGTGGTGACCCAGATGACGTCTACGACGACCTGTGTTTCCTAAAGGAAGAGCTGGAAATGCGCGGCCTGGCGTTGAATATCGCGAAATGCGAATTGGTTGTTGTGGGAGGCACCGAAGATGAACGCCAGACTGTTATCACAGCCTTCCTCCAGTCTTTTCCCGATCTCCAGTGCCCACAGTTGGGCGAGCTGCAGTACTTGGGCGCTCCACTCCACGATGCTGCCGTGGCGGGGGCGCTTACCACAGCGACAGCACAAATTGCCCGAATTGTGCGGCGACTGAAATTACTACCGGCTCATCACGCCCTGTACCTACTGAAATGCAGCATGGGACCGGTAAGAATGACATATAAGTTGCGCACTGCTCGGTGTTATCTACAGAGAGGACTACTGACCGAATTTGACGTAATGATTCGTGAATGCCTTTCGGCAATCACCAACGTGAACATCACCGACGTGAACTGGGTGCAGGCATCCCTTCTAGTTGCAGAAGGTGGTCTCGGTATCCGGAGTATTAAGAAGCTTGCTCTTCCGGCCTTCTTGGCCTCGGCTTACTCAGTGACCCGACTGGCAACCGAAATAACCGACTTCGATCCGGAAGTGTACTGCGGCACCGCCGAAGCTGAGTGGCAGCGTGTAACGGAAGCCGATCTTCCAGCTGTGGAAGCCCGAAAATTTCAGAAAATGTGGGATGAACCAGTCATCCAAACTTCCGTAAAGATGCTTTCTGAAAAGGCCCAGTCCGACATTTCTAGCCAAGCACGGCTTCTGGGTGTTAGCACCAAGGACAACGGAGCATGGCTGGATGCACTTCCAGCTGCATCACTGGGAAATCTGCTGAACGACTCTGCATTAAGAATCGCTGTTGGCCTGCGTCTTGGAACAGCGATCGTTACTCCGCACCGATGCATTTGCAGTGAATGGGTGGACGCACGAGGCTACCACGGCTTGAGCTGTAAGAAAAGTCGGGGCCGGAAGTCACGACACAGCAGCTTAAACGCGACGCTCAAACGAGCCTTCGCCTCCGCCACCATTGAGACTGAACTCGAGCCTTAGGGTTTATCGCGAACCAACGGCAAACGCCCAGATGGAGTCACCTTAGTGCCATGGGAACGAGGCAAGATGTTAACATGGGATGTGACATGTGTGTGTACAATGGCCTTATCACATATCGCAGCAACATCCACGCAAGCCGGCGCAGCAGCGGCTCAGGCCGAACGGAAGAAAATTGGGAAGTACCAGAACATCACGCAGGACTACCTGTTCCGTGCGGTGGGCGTTGAGACATTAGGACCACTCGGACCGGGAGCATCCCAGCTAATCACTGAAGTGGGCAAGATGATTCGTCAGGAAACAGGCGAGGTACGTGCAACGGAATATCTGCGCCAGAGGTTCAGCATCGAAGTCCAACGGGGAAACGCGGCATCCATCCTGGGAACGGCACCAGCCACGGCTAATTTAGATCAAATGTTCTCTGTAATTCGGCCGCCTGTTTCCGCTGTTTGTTAAATTCGTAATGTAATGTTTCTTTTGTGGATGTTAGATTACTTACTTTGTATTCGCTCATCAATAAATTCGTCAAGTAATCCTCTAACCAAACGACCGATTACGACACATACGTTCACCTACGTTTATGTCGTAATTATCTGTGATGACTGAAACCTGACAACGGTAACTTTGCAAGATAAAACACCCACAGCTTCTGCATTTCTTCTGCCGAACAGATGTGAACGAATGTGAGACTGCCGCTCCGTGTGCACAAGGAACGTGCACTAATGTAATGTACAGAACGATTTTGCCTGCACATTAGAATGATTTACAGTACCGCTGTTGGGACAGATTTTTGTGCGGGGACAGATTTTTGTGCGTTTTAACAGCCGGGTTTCCCTTTTCTAGCATACTCTTGATGACCGCGGAAAAGCGACACGCACTTAGCTTATGGTTTCCGCTCACATTTCGTTTAAAGCGACCAAACTGGGCGTATCTTCGTGTGCTTTAATTCACAGGACGCGTAGTATTGCGTACAGTTTAAAGTTTAAACCGTATCTATAAACCAAAGCCACTTTTGCCGAAGTATTCCGTTATGACCGAAATCTGTGTACAATGCAGTGAATGCAGAATAAAAAAGCACGGTAGATGCTTCGATTTAACGTCTACTGAAAAAATGACCGCTTCCGGAGTGCTGGCACTTGTACGCGACTGCGCACAGGACATGTTCGCGTTGCACATGGTTAGCTGATTTTATCACTTAGTTCTCAACCGCATGCTAACTGGCGTTTTTCCACGGTTTCAGTCCAAGACAGTACGTGCAAAACAGACAAATTGTCATCATGACAACTACAAAAACTTTAAAAAAATGCCGTTTAACAAAAAGGAAGATTAGCTGGCAAGGGTGGAGGGGAGGTTCTCCTCGTCGTCACTGATGAGGCCCTCCATGCCCGCCCCCGCGGAGTGGTCGGTGACGTTGAGATCCATGGCGCTGGCGTCGCTGTGGACGCTGCGCTCGTGCTCCGTCTTCCCGTCGACGCGCAAAAGGAACTCGGAGACGGCCTTGGCCATCCCGCTGACCACCATCGCCTTCCTCGCCCAGGTCCTGGCCTCCGCCGTGTTCCCCGCCTCCAGCTGCATTCTCGCCAGGAAGAGGTAGGCCTCGCCCAGCTCCGTCGCGAAAGCACTGCGATTAACGTCCTCCTGGCCTTTGACGAGCCCCTCCTCGCAGGCGGCGATGTAGCGCTGGAACGCGATGGCCGCCTTTGCAACATCGCTCTTGCTCAACACCCGGCCTAATTTCCCAATGGCGCCGTCCTCCTTGTCACCGTTCTGGTACGACTGCAAAACAGAAGGACCGTATCAGTGGCCTGTGTTTCCTATATACATACAGCTTCCCATTACGACAGGGCCGGCAGGCGGCTTATGTTTACACTAAATGTTAAACCAGTACCAGACTGTTCATAACATATAAATAAATAAAAAAATCCATGCTATTTGCCGGTGGAACGGTGAAACCAACGATAGTCATAGAAATTTACCGAAATAAAAATATTTTCAGAAACCTTGTGTTGTACTTTTCAACAAAACACACGCTAGAATAAACACACGTAGATTGTAATAAAATAAGATAACAAGCTAATGATTTTACAAAATAAATGTAGTAAAAAAAATAAGTATTTGTAATGATTGGCGCAACGGCGACAAAGAAATGGAAGGAAAATAACCAACGTAGGTTCGTACCTGCCAGTAGGCGCGAGCGGCGTCATCCGGTTGGTTGAGTTTGACGAAGACGTCCCCGAGCGCACACCAGGGCTTGGGGTCGTGGAAGGCGTTGTCAGCTGATCGCTGGAAGTACACATGGTCAGAGTACTTTGCGCTCTCGTGCACCTTCCCTAGTCCGAACCAGGCCCTGTAATCCCGCGGGTCGACCTGCACGGCCCGCTGCAGGCAGGCCACCGCCCGCGGCTGGTTCTTCAGCTCCAAGTACTCGTGCCCCAGGAAGAGCCAGGCCTGCGGCAGATCGGGGCAGCCGCGCAGCGCTAGTGTCAAGTGCTCGACGGCGCGGTCGTGCTGGTCGCGCAGACCCAGGTAGTTACCCACCGCCACGTTCGTCTCCGCCGCCAACCGGTCAATCTCGTGCAGATCTCGCGCTAAACGCGCCAGCCGCGTCTGTCAAGAGACACAATTTATACAAACGATTATTTGCAGCTAGTGCTGGCAAGAGAATCGGTATGAAACAAATTACGTATAAAAATCTCCAACCGCTCACAAAGCAAATGAAATGTAAAACAATTATCTTGGGTAAAATGATCGACTGTGTTTGCACAGTTTTCAAGCCGAAAAGAAAAATAATTTATACAAACGATTATCTGCAGCTCGTGCTGCCCAATAAACGTGTCAATTATTACAATTACAAGAATCTCAAACCGCTTAGAATAGAAAAAACAACGTAAAAAATATAAATATCTACACAAGCGAAGTAATTTTAGTTTTTTTCTCATGCCGCGTTGACATCATTTCGAGCTAAATGTGTTTGCCACTCTGCTACGATGTCGCTCGGGATATCCGACGGTCTTTAACACACTCAATCAACGTTTTACACAAAGCTGTTCAATTTTGCAACTGCATTTTCCTCGTTAGTCGGAACGGATCCTAATGGAAAGTTCAATTACATTTGTAGCAAATTATTAATTTGCGCTTTTAATGGTAAAAAGAGAGGCACATACGACCATTTACGGCTGGTGCGTCAGAAAATTTGTATTTGATTAATCGCTTATTATTAGATTCACAACAATTTTATTTTAAATCAGATCCAGCGTTGAGTTACGAGTATTATTCGTATGCCACCTGTTTCTGTAATATTTATTTAATATGTATACCAATTATGAAAAACGTTACAAGCAAAATTAGTTCAATCAACGATTACAGGATCTGCAGATTTCCGCTTCTGACAACACGGCTTTTAATAAATGCGACAAGGTATAACCATTGCATGTTTACTAGTCACTCCGCTACGAAACTCACCGTCTGTTATTGTGGAAATATGCGTAATTATAGAATACACTTATTTAACATTCAACAAATCTTAAACTTCAGGGGCTTACTTTTGTAATTTACCAGGGCAGCGTTACCGGCCCCCCTCTCAGAAAAATTTCGTTTTTTTGCAGGACTGCAGAGTAACACTAGGGTATGCTTAAAAAAATAGTTTCATCTGCCATGGTTAGTAGGGCGTGGCCAAACAGAATTTAGAAGTTTAAATTTGCTATGTTATAGCCTATGGCCAATGCATTGCTTCGTACTTAAGCACATTTACGATTTAATACAAACCACTTCACGTGGTATCGTACGAGGCTTATGTGCGCTAAATGTTCTCGGCTTCCGTTTCTGAAACGGCTGGTATGACAGTTAATTATTTTTAAGTTTAGAGATGATCTGTAGGTCCTCATTACCTCGGTTTTCGTGCTAGGCTGCTAGCGGTATGTAATAAAAACTGATAGCGCGAATCGAAATGGAAGTATTTACACCTGCTAATCTAGCTCTTACAAAGTATTGTTAATTACCACTATCAGCAGCACAATACAGAGGGCTCACGATAGTGAGTAATGAAGCTTTATTGTGTACAATGATAAAGCATGGGCATAACGCATGGCAAGTGGCCAGCGTGAGAGAAAAATCATGACTAAAGCCCAAGTTATACTTCCACCTGATGAGAAATGAAGCTGACGATCATGCGCTTTCATTTTCATTTAACATGTGGCATCAGTTAAATGAAGGTGGAAACATGTGAATGATGCCGGAAACATGATGGCAAATGTTGCATGAATACAAGACACGCTTGACGCGCAGAGTATGAACTAACCGTCTCATGCCGCTAATCAGGTTGCTCGTATTATCCATTATATCCAGAATATTTTTCCTCGATATTTTTAAATTAAAATTGCTTGAATGCGAAGTTTTTGTGAGTTGTAGGATTTTACCATTGCCTTTCGTAGTGGGAATGAGAAGAAAGTGCAATTAATAAACGGCACACGTAATAATTTAGGAAGAAAAGAGCTGCAATAACCAATGGCAAAAGCATAAGATTTTCTGTACTTACAGTTAGTTCTTACTGTGACACCGAGCATGCAATATTATCAAGATTTCGTACTATGTAAAATCACAAGAAATATGTTTGATTACTTAGAATGATTGATTCTTATACGTTGTAAAACTTGATAGATAGCGGCGCATAGCAAAACATGCCCTATTTTCACCCCCGAGCCGTATTTGTTATTTTCCGGCTTGCCATACGTCTAATGTCGGCACGCCATAGTTGAGTAGCCCGCCCCCGTGGGCGGCAGTACACAACCGTAACGTGGGCGGGTGCCTCTATCGCCGCTTGCCGCTACCGTGGGCGGTTGACGGTAACGACTACTCAGGGCGGTCGCCCTCTACAAAAGTGTATCCTTTCACAAAACAGTACAATATCATTAATATGCTTTGATATTTGATATCACAAAATACTGTATGGTTATGCTTTTCTATCCTTAATTACATCAGAAAGAATTTCTTGAGTTCAGTCATTGCATTTGCATAAAGACTGCCGTTTTTGACTCATTTCACAGTTGCAGGGTCTCAGCGAACATCTTCAAATACAATTACGGAAGTGTTCTTGCAAGAGTTCTTCGAAAAACCGTTGAAACCTGACACATGATACATGACAGAATGAACACGACTATTTCGTCAATTTTCGTTATCATTCAGTGTCATTTTTGCATGATCGGCGTCAGGTATCAGTTTTCAGGGAGGTGTGTTTATACTTAAATGACAACGATTGACCACATTCCTTCATTCGAGTATGAATGCGCATCAGTGAAATGACGCTAAATGATGATCATTTGGCTCGCTTGATGGAAGTATAACTTGGGCTTAAACAGGAATGAGCGGCTAAATGAGCCGTAACATAGAAAAATGCCTATCGGCAGCACTGGGCAGATCCAACATGTGAACGAACGCTGATTGGCCGGAGACAAGCCGTAGGTGTGGCAAGGCGTAGCTGAGCCTGAGTCGAGGCCGATACGGCGTACGATAGCGAGTGCGACTCCGTGTGTGAGTCAGCACACCGGAAGCTGGGCTGTCGCTGGCTGCCATCTCGTAGGCTGCCATGGCGACCGGCCTGACATGCCTCTGGGCGGGAGTCCGAGCCCCTGCGAAGGACCCGGTCTCGTACCGTCCCAGTGCCCTTTCCGCACAAGACCCTATTGGGGTCAGTGGCTGCGCCTCGGGGGTGTCCGGTGTGGATGTCTCCGGTCCCGCGTTCTCCTCCGGACCCGTGGTGGCGATACAACTCACGGCAGAAATCCGAAGGTCGGTCGGGTTTCTTGTTGGACCGGTGTAGGCTTC